GGCCTGCGGTGCATCATTGGTCAGATACTCCCAATGGAATATGAGCGTGCATTCTACCTCGTACAATGATGGACAGCATGCAGCCAGGTAGCCATGCCGTCTTCTTGTGTGCAAACGTTATCAATGTCCGGAGTGGTTGGATTGGAAACCGATTGTCGCAGCCTCTTTGGCCCAACACCACTCGACCCAGTGTTCCGAACACTAGTACGCACCTTGAGTATTTCATTTCTGCCAATCTTCAGGTTATTCCGGCGTTCAGCCTTTTCTGTGTTGGACTTTTGCGTACGGTGCGTGCATGTCGATGTCCTCACGCTGAACATCGTGCACCGCTGTACCAGTATGCTGTGCTCCTGTACTGTGTGGGGTGTGGTGCTTGTGCTTTCGCTGGTCATGTTTGCACTACTTGTGTGAGTCATGCAGATACGTTGTGCACATGTACCATTAAGTCCATGATGTATACCTGGTTCACAGACTTGTCAGTTTGAGTACTGTATTTCCCCGATTGTGAGGCGCACTCGATTATAAGTCGCACCCCCACTTTGAGGTTTGAACCACATTGTTTCAATACATGCATATATGTAGGATGTCACTCTCGATTGTAAGTCACATCCCCTTCTTTGCCCTTGGAGTTTAGTGTAAAAGGGTGCGACATATATTCGGGGCAATACGGTACACATAGTAGTAATAGTATTTTATTCCCGTAGCTATGCAGAAGACGTTACTTCAGTAACGTCTGGCGCTAGCCAGGGTCCACACAGCTTTAATTTGGTATTTGTTTGTTTGTGTGTTTGTTTGTTTGTTTGTGTCACGCCTGGCGCTATCCCGTATCTGTCCCGTATCTGTGACTACAAAGGCTCTACAGGATTGTACATAACAGCTGTCCACAATATTTGCGGGCTCCTGTATCTGTCCCGTACCGTACCAATATTCGTCGTATTATGCATACGACTCCCTGATGTAGAGTGGGATTTGGAAAGAAATAGGGAGACGAGGAGGAAATTAAATTAGAATAGACGCCGATAAGGTGATAGGATGCGTCAGCATAAACATACTTTGGAAGAGAGATCCCGTCGTCTCCAAAATAAGCGTGAACGAGCGATTCAGTGCCGGTCACAGGAAACGTCGGAAGAGAGATCCCGTCGACTCCAGAACGCTCGTGGTCGGTAGAGTCCGGCGGTACCAGGCAACGTCAGGACAGACATCCCGTTGAGTCCAGAACGCCCGTGATCGGCAGAGTCTAAGCCGGTCCCAGGAAACGTCAGGACGGACATCCCGTCGAGTCCAGAACGCCGTGATCGGCAGAGTCAGCGCCGGTCCCAGTAAACGTCAGGACAGACATCCCGTCGACGCGCAGAAAAATAAAATCTGCAGCCTCTTTTGCCGTCGAACAGGATACGTATTTATATAGGAGACTGTAAAGTTATGTAATGTCCAAATTTCCACGTGAGCAGCAGGTCACTCGCGTTGATTTTTTCGACGTGCGAGCCAAATAACGCGAGCTGAACTTTCGCGTCGCAGACATCCCGTCGACGCGCAGAAAAACTAAATCTGCAGTCTCTTTTGCCGTCGGACAGGATACGTATTTTAGGAGACTGTAAAGTTATGTAATGTGCTCCTCAGGCAACCATGCATTCGGCGTCGTCATTGGCTCAACAGGTCAATGTAGATTGTATTACTACAAAAAGGCCAGAAAATCCGATTCCTGTATTAAAATCAACTAATGTTCGCTGGAGATTTAATTTCGCTGATTTCGCCGCTTGGTACCAACCGGACAAAGTTAATCGCAGGCCAACGTTTGTCATATAGGCAAATGATGCATGATTGAGCAATGGATGCATGTGAGAGCAAAAATACCGATCGATTTCAAATTTGACGTGAAACTGCGCGTCACGTCGGAAATAACGTGCATCTTAACCTCTCTAATCGAGAGGTTTCTATTTCTCATCGGCCAAAATTTGTTGATTTACAATATAAGGAGATACAAATTAAAGAAGGAGCAAAACAAAAGTAGATGATTATTAGAGAAACAACAATCCGCAATAAATTCTGCAAATACTTTTGCCTAACTCATAATATTCAAACCGATTGAAACGTTTTTGCAATACAGTGATGTGACCAATGAACGGAAAAAGACAATTCCATCAGTTCTTATAACATGTACGATGAGCTAGGCAAAAAAGCATAAAAGCATAGCGTAGGGCCCTGAGCTTCCAAGCTCTCTCGTTTTATTATCACATGAACAGGCATTGATGCCTTCTCACCAGACCAATGGTGTGGCTCCTACAAAATGGTGAAGTGTAGTTCAGGAAGGTGTGCTCGGCTTGCTTTGAGAAAGAAATTTAGTTTCCATGGAGTAGTTGGGCCTCATCCGTGCTGCATCGATGAGCCTGCAACTGACCAGTGACCAGTTCGTCGGAAGTTGACGAAATTTCGCACAACTTTCGCTACTCCAGGCCGCTACTGCCAAACCTTACGAACTTTCCTTGTGCACGACCCCCCCCCCCCCCCCTATAAAGTGTCCGCATTGTTCTGTACTTTACGGTACTGGTGTCTGTGTCCTGTGCTGACGACTGTGTCTTGTATCTAAGTACTAGCTCCGAAAGGTTAGTACTAATATTCACGGGGGCTGGCATATCATGGTCGTGTACGGCCGCATACAATTCTGTCGTAGGCGTTAGTGCCAGGCCACAGTACATTAATTTCTCTAAGAAAAGATTTTCCTGTGCTGTCTTCGATTGCTCACACAGGCAGAGAAATTGCAGCGACACATTGAGAGGAAGTCAACACCACCAACAGAAGCAGAACAGCCCAATGTCCGATTCGGTCACACCTTCAGCGATCACATGCTGCAAGTAGCATGGAACAGCGCTGATGGTTGGGGTTCTCCACAGATCGTTCCCTATGGCAACCTCTCTCTTTCCCCAGCCCCTGCCTTGCATTATGCAGTTGAGGTAGGGATAACATAGAACATCTTCAAGTTAGGCTCTTATCATATGGAGAGCGCATGGATGACTGTTGCACGGTGACGGATATGCACATAACCATGATCCAAAGTCATGCATTCTATTTCTCTTCTTGCTGTTGTTTGTGACTGTTGTTGTCGTCGTCACGCTCCCCCTCCTCAGTACCTGTGGTGTCATGGTTGTGTTTCCAGTGTTTTGAAGGAATGAAGGCGTATAGAGGAGCAGATGGAAAAATTCGAATGTTTAGGCCGCTGGAGAACATGAAGCGGATGAACAATTCATGCCGCGTATCTCGCCTTCCAGTAAGCCACGAAGCTCTCTCTCTCTCTCTCTCTCTCTCTCTCCCTCTCTCCCTCCCTCCCTCTCTCTCTCTCTCTCTCTCTCTCTCTCTCTCTCTCTCTCTCTCTCTCTCTCTCTCTCTCTCTCTCTCTCTCTCTCTCTCTCTCTCTCTCTCTCTCTCTCTCTCTCTCTACCCCCTCTCTCTCTCTCTCTCTCTCTCTCTCTCTCTCTCTCTCTCTCTCTCTCTCTCCTCTCTCTCTCTCTCTCTCTCTCTCTCTCTCTCTCTCTCTCTCTCTCTCTCTCTCTCTCTCTCTCTCTCTCGTTGATGTTTTTTGGTTGGTGTTCCAGCACTGATGTGATACACTATCGTATTCTACAATGCTTTGTTGTAGGAGTTCAATGGCGAAGAGGTGGCCACCTGCATCAAGGAGCTTTTGCGTGTTGATCGTGACTGGATTCCATCAGCTCCAGATTGCTGATTGTACATTCGTCCAACAGTAATTGGCACCGAGGTATGCTGCGTTACGTATGGACACATACATGTATACTCTGAAATGTTTTCTGCTGAATTCTCACTTGTTCTAGCTGACTGCTATTGCAGTTGCAGTCTAAGCATCATGTTGTGCAGCTTGGTGTATAACTGTGCCAGCAAGTGGTCTGCATATTTGCTAGCTAGCATCCTTCAACTGAGCCCTGCACTGTCTAATTAGTTTGCTTAGCCATGTAGGTGTCTGACCAAAGTGCTGTGTCTACCCCGTTCTCACAGCCTCACTTGGGTGTGAATGCATCAGGAGAAGCTCTGTTGTACGTCATCACGTGCCCTGTCGGCCCTTACTTCAAGGACGGTGGATTTAAACCGGTTCGTCTTTTTGCTGATCCCAAGTATGTGAGAGCCTGGCCAGGTGGTCTTGGAGCATCTAAACTGGGCAGGTGAGACATGCATTGCTCTTGGTAGTGCAGTACTGTATATGAATGTCTCTGGATGTCTCTGAATGCTGCTGCTCTTGCTCCTGCTGCTGCTGTCCTGCAGATTTATGCATGCTGGCATATGGCATAGCTGCTTTGAGCTGCGTTTGGGCTTGGCGGGTCATTTCTGCGATCGGGTCTTACATATCCCGGCAGGCGATGGATCACATAGATCCACCCATAGAACCACCCAATCCGGTGTCGACTTGCCCATTGTTGTTTGGGTACTATGGTGTTGGTGTTGTCTCCCTTGATACTACTACTTGAAGTAGTACTATGGTGTTGGTGTTGTCTCCCTTGATACTACTAGTACTATGGTGTTGGTGTTGTCTCCCTTGATACTACTAGTACTATGGTGTTGGTGTTGTCTCCCTTGATACTACTAGTACTATGGTGTTGGTGTTGTCTCCCTTGGTGCTAGTACTCCCTGGTGTACACTTCTGAATGGAGACTTGTGTGTGAAACCTGTTCTTCAGACTTCAGAGTACATTGTAGTTTGTGATTCGTACATGGACTCTTATCATGTCCGTCACATCATTGTATTCATGATAATGATTCATTCTTCATACATGTTCCATGATTGGATATTGATCATGATGTTGTTGACAATCTAGAACTCCTACCTACGTGTTTCCCTGTGTTTCCAGTAACTAGGGTCCCACGATTTCACCACAGAAGGAAGCTGAAGCTCGTGACTGTTCACAAGTACTGTGGCTCTTTGGCCCCGAGCAGAATGTAAGATTCAAACTAATGTTTGCTTTGATTACCACTTCAGATCCTGATGGTGCCGGTGATCATTTCGTTGATGCCTGTACTAAAATTGGTACGACGTGGAGATGGTTAGCGTGGCCCCTGCGCTAAGTATGACACGCAAAACACTCAAATTTGTTTTTGGACAAACCAACAAAGCCATAGTTGACCATGATCAGCGTACATGACGTATATCCATTAGTTTGAGGGGGGAATTGCTAACGGGAAACCCCACCGTATGTTTCTATGAGATCCTTCCTCCTGGTCTTCTATGTTGTCATTTCACCATGGCGACCTTGCCTAGTGCTAGCTGATGGTGGGGTTTGGGGGTTTACCGAAGTGTCGTTTGAATGATTTTCTTGTTTCCAGGCTGGCCCATGACACACGCTAGCAACCAGTGTCTACATGAGAGGGCTCTGCAGTAGTCATCCATGCTAACAAAAACATAATAATATGGCTGTACTGGTGCCTGACACATTCTTCGTGCACAATTATTTCCTCACTGGTGCCTCACACAGACATGTCACACATGTGACAGACATGTACAATTACTGCACTGGTCAGTTTATTTTTTTATGGTGTTCGTGTATGTGTGTAACTAATTATTGTGTGTGTGCTGTGTGTGTGTGTGTTCTGTGTTGTACTTTGTTGTACTACTTGCAATGTTGTAGATCACAGAAGTTGGAACGATGAATATGTTCATGTTCTGGGTGAACAAAGCAGGTGGTAAGCTGTCTACCGTATTCTCCGAATATAAGTCACACCTTTTTACACTTACCGTAAAGTCGTGGATAAAAGCCGGGCTTATAAGCGTATAAGCCACTTTCTGCATCAGGCTTTAATGCAAACCAGGCTTCATGTGCAAACCATGCTTATATGCACCACTGATATTTTTTGCCAGGCTTGTATGCACGCTTCTACGCGCGACATGCGTAGATCTACCACTGACTACCGGTATGGCGGCAGTTTTACTATGCACCGTACATAGCGCATGCGCTCTTGACCTACCCGATCCGCGCTTGCATAGAAGCCAGGCTTCTACGCGCGACAGGCCTATATGCATTTGACCCGTTTGATTTTCAGGCTTCTATCCGCGATGTGCTTGTATGCAAACCCGGCTTTTATCCGCGACTTTACGTTAACTTCAGGGCCAATAAAGGGGGTGTGACTTACAATCGAGCCCCTCCCCCCCCTCGCTAGTGGTCATGGTTACCCACATGACTGATGGCAAGAGTTCATAACTAGGGATATCAGCGAACGCACTGCGCAGCCCATCTGCGCAGGTCAGCCTGGCCCATCTACACGCGGCCGACAAGAAAACTCATGAACCCTTTCATTTTTTTGCAAAATAAATCGTGCGAAGAAGATGCACGGAATGGCTGAAAACTAGGCTGAGGAATAGTAGCATACAGAGACTCTCAAACAAATTCATGGTCCATCGCTTCTGACAATGGCAGCGAAGACATCAGGGAGCTGATTGCAGCAACTCTCTACCAAGCGCGACGCTGGTTACTCACCAGGGCAGGGCGCTTCCATCGCGCAAGAAATGGCCGCGAGCGAGAAATACAAGTCCGATTTTGGAACGATCCAACCAGGGAAATTCCTTGAAAATTGGCCTGAACACCTCTCATACTGGTGTTTCACGATGTGCAAACTTTCAGAGAAATCGACCGGGAGAACGTGGTGAGTACGTGGGTCCTCGAGTATCGCGTATGATTTGAATGGTCGCGGGGAGAGAAGAACAGTAATTTTACGACTCCCAGCGGTGCAAACAGATCGCGGCCATGTTTTCTCTGTCGGCCGCGATCACGTTCAAAAAATCGATGACGCAATGCATGCGCAGAGGCCTGCGCAGTGCGTTCGCTGACATCCCTATCATAACCCCCAAGAGTGTGCAACTGGCATTCACCCAGCGCTCGGCGAAATTCCTACATTACTTCAGGCGCAACTTGTCATCCGAGGTAAATTTGGGCTCCTTGCGATTTCTGGAAACTATACCCGGAACCGCTCCTAACTCAAGGCTGTAGCTTCGACATTTCGAAGCTTTGTTTGAAGACATTTCGGACGTACAAGTCGTACTTTCTCAAAAAAAAAAAAAAAATTTCTCCAAGAATCCCATGGATGTGCCCCGGACATCGACAGGAAGAAGTAATAAGGACGCTGTCAATGATAGCTTGGTGAGGAAGTGTAGCTTGGTGAGGAAAACATATTGCATTGCCGTCAAGGATAATCATTCTGATAGCTGTGCAACTGAGCCGATGCTCCTTCGACTCATTCTCAATTTCCTCAATCATTTGAAATTATCTTCGAGGAAAGCACCGGAAATATGCCGAGGGCCCCGGGAAGAAATATTTGTTGAAGAGACTGACTGCACTGGCGAAAGAAGAAGGCGATGAAGAGTCACCATTGGCATCGAAAAATAGTTGTGTCTTTGGGATCGCGCGCGTTGTTTCACTTCTCGATCCGGGATTCAGATCAGAATCGCAGTTTAGGCAGTTTACCCGAAGGAAGCATCCGAGTTTGACTGCAAATGTTAGAAGAATTCATCGGCATGACTCGTCGCACTACAACAAAAAATTAATGATGCAGTGAAGGAATTCCGCCGAGCGGGCCTCCATACAGGGACTGATCAGGAGTTACACACTCTTGGGGGTTATGAACTCTTGCTGATGGGCATGATGTTTTCCAAATAATCTGTAATTGTTTTTGTAATTTGGCTCAACATCTGAGTTAAATTGTTTTTGTGTGTTTGTTTTTGTGTGTGCAGAAAAGGAACTGGTCACACCTCCGCTGAATGGATTAATCCTGCCCGGTGTAACGCGTGCATCTCTTTTGGCACTAGCACAGTCATGGGTGAGTTTAATATGTCCAGATGTCATGTGCCGCTCGCTGGCCGCGGCTATCAACAAATACTTGTATTAATAACTGTAAATCTCACCACCTGTGCTGCTGCCTTGGTGTCCCTTGTTGACTTTACTGTCACTATCCCTAATTCCCTATTGTTCTTCTTCTGAAGGGTGAGTGCAAGGTCACTGAACGTGACTTCACAATGAAGGACATCGTGGAGGCCAAGGCTGAAAATCGGTTGATTGAGATGTTTGGAGCAGGAACAGCATGTGTTGTATCACCTTTTGGAAGCATTCTCTATGAAGACAAGGTCAGTGATGCCCATGGCTTTTGCTTTCTGTCTGGATTGTCTTTCCTGATTCCTAATTCCTAATTCTTACTTTGAAGTACATGTACAAGTACTTGGATGTGTAACCCATTGGAGCATACCAATAATATTATCTTCCTTCAGAGAACAGTTGACAAACCAGACTTTTGTCTCACCTTTCTTCAAGTGCGGCTTGGTGTGTGTCAACAAATGTACTTCAGTGCCTGAACTGCTGCCTGGATTCAGGCGCTTCCTCGATAAAACAATGGAAACTCGTGTTGATCAAGGCTCCAGATATCTATCAGTGTGAAGGAAGGGGCTGGTGGCATTGCAGGCATGCTTAGTACTTCGAAGTAGTATGGTGATGGTGATGATACGTGTTCATGTACAAGTACATGTATTACATGTAGTACCATACTAGATGTGTTTAACATGTGTGACTTCTCCTTTATCTGTATTGCAGATTATCGAAATCCCAACAATGGATACTGGAGCCCATATTGCACGCAAGTGTCTCAAATCTCTCACTGACATTCAGGTACAATAATGTGTTCTCTGTGGCCCTGGGGATGATGCTGCTGCTGCTGCTGGCCCTGGGGATGATGCTGCCTTTGCCGATGCCTCTGCCACTCCTGCTGCTACTGCTGCTTCTACTGCTGATGCTGATGCTGCTACTACTGATGCTGATGCTGCTGCTGCTGCTACTACTGATGCTGCTGCTGCTGCTGCTGATGCTGCTGATGCTGATGCTGCTGCTGCTGCTGCTGCTGGCACTGGTGATGCTGCTGCTGGCACTGGTGATGCTGCTGATGCTGCTGCTGCTGGCACTGGTGATGCTGCTGATGGTGAGAACTTGCACCCTGTGCTACTAGATACAATGTATACATGTGTCATGTGTGTGGTGGTGGGGGGGGGGGGGGGGGGGGGGGCAAGAGGAGGATGATCCGTTGTGCTGTCTCTTACTTGAGATACTTTCTACACACTGTTTTACCAATACCAACATGACATGATGTCATGCAGGCACTCCGCCTTGCCCTGAGTTGAAGGCATGCATGCTCGTTTCAAAGTCCGACAGAGTCATGTGCATTCTAGTTGTTGTGAACCCTCTGGTTCTCTAAAGTGTCAGGAACGAACGACCACACGGCACGAGGACAACTATTTATTATCAACAGTGTATTTCACTTCCATCGACTAATAATAATGAATAACTAACACTAAAACCACCAGGTAGTTATATCGTGAAAATGACAGCGTATATGAGAAAAGCATACACATACAACATACAACTACAGCGCACACAGCAAACCGCACATAGCGCGTGTAGCGTATGCCACGTCGTAAACATCAGCGGTACGGCGGAGCCGGGATACAACTGCATTGAAACGAACACAATGTCACAAGCGCGAAGGCCTTTCACTCTCGAGAACTTGTGGTTTCGCAACATTCTCCCCACCAAAGGGCTTCTAACCGCCGTACAACAACTCACAAGTCAAAAAAAACGACCGGGGCTCCAACTACACGCCCAGAACGAGTCATCCGCTGCTGTGGCGGTGGCCAAGGTGGAATATTACTACTGCTCACCATTTCTGCCAACTGAGCAATGGTCTGCGGACTCGCGCACTTCAGATCAAGCTCTAACGTTGGCTTCACGAGAGCACATACCGGAATGACTGCGGAGCTACCCAGGATCGTGATGGCGAACTTATCCATCCGCTGTTGGGTTGATTCCGCACCGAACGGCTTCACCTCAACATTCTCAACTCCAACGTGCTCTGCATCGATTGCGGACACCAATGCTGCAGTCACAAATGACACCTTGGCACCCGAGTCCTGCAACACGCGAAGCTTGCCGCTGTGGGATGTCACACACGAAACGGTTACCGGTCCACTTCGACGTGGGGCGGACGCTGCACCAGACAACACACAACCGATAATTTCACCAAGCTTGCCGATCTTGGCTGTCACACACGACACAGTCACTGGGCCACT